TCTTATAGACATATAAAATCAGATAGTATATATTAAAATTAAAAATTACTATGTAAGAATTATTACTTCTATGACTTCCAAGATATATGTAAATGCTACTACAGTGGATTCTTGTGAATGATATTTTATCATTACAATTCATAATTAATTCTATTTTAATATTAGTTGTTTCAACCAAATGAGAGAGAAGGAATATGATCTAAGGTCTGCTTTTAAGGGCTAGTCTACAGTTTGTTTGACTTGAAAATCTAGTTCAATATGGATCTGAATATCCCAGTGTTTAACATACAGCAACTTCATGCCTTTTTCTTTTGAAACGTTATGGTACTTTTATGGTTACCTTTCACCCTGCTCCTGTTTTGTTGCTAAACAGAAGTTTTGCAGTTTTAGGCTACTCCAAAAATAAGCAAACACTCATAATAAAACTTCAACCAAGTTAGCCAGGAGGATAACTACTAGACTATTTATACACAAACACTAGGTCACTCGATCTCCATCACTGATATTCTTTGATAACTGTTCAGGGTCCTATCAGATACTTGCTTTTGGATAGAGATATAGATATACACTCACACTTTTTTTTTTTATAGAGGCATGTTTTTATTTATTATTTGTTTGTTTGTTTGTTTTTTGTTTATACATGCACTGGGTACAGTCAGAAGCGCGGGAGGGTGAGAGAATTCACCAGAGCCAGAGCAGGGAGCAGAGCAGGCAGAAGGACCGAAGTACACTGCTGAGGGGAGCAGCGGGCGGCAGGAGAGGTCTGCGCGCCATGTGGGACCCTCCTCCGGTGGCCGGGGAGCAGCCGGGGATCGAACCGGCGCCGCAGAGGCCGCAGGCAGCTTCGCAACCCAGCGCTCAACCGCTGCGCCACCAGGGAGGCCCCTACACTCACACTTTTAAGTTGTCCATTTCTTCATATGTCTGTTTTGATTATTTTTCCATAACATTAAATGCAAAATTCTAAGTCATCATGTTTTATAGCTGTATTGCTTGGATGCATGATAATTTATTTTTCCAGTATCCTATTGATGGGCATTTAAATAGTTTCCAAATTTTTCCATTAGAAATGATACTGAGTTAAACACCTTTGAATGATGTTTGGTAGTTGTTAGTTGGTAAAAAGAATGCTGATAAACATGTGAAGTGTGCTTCATTCAGAGAATTTTCAGGACAACAAACTCTCTGTTCGGTCATCTCACACAGGTGGCTCTTGCAAAAGCTCTGATTTCCTGTTAGGAGCCAGGATCTAGTTGGCCTTGTGGCAATCTAAATGGTTTTGAAGATTCTGACTAAGGGTAATGCTGAGAAATTAGTGTAGTATTTACAGAGTGAAAAGAAAGTAGGTGTTACATTCTCCACACAAGCAAAAAACAGTCTTAAGAGGCTAGCTACATGATTTTGTAAATCTTTTGTAATTAATACTTGCTAAATGGCAATCAATCAGGCTGACTCCCAATAATCTGTAATTTTTACTGTCATTGGTGGTAGCCACCTGCCACTCACCAGTTATTTACCCTCCCCACACACCCCTACGCCTACACTTGATCTCAAATTATACAATTCTATTAAACTCTCATCTGTAAGTCACCAATCCCTATGCTGTTAATTTGTTATATAGTCAGCTGAAGGGGAGCAGTATATACTGGAAATTGCATGGGCTAAAGAACACAGCGAGAACCCAGCTCTTACATGTGATAATGGATGACTGCAATCATTTTGGTAATCCTCAGTTCGCCCCTCTGAAAAATAGGGATAATATCTCAAAGCATTCCAGTATTATTTGCTACACTATTCCTGACACCTAATAACATCAGCTGTTAATGTTATTGATGAAGTCTTTGTAAACACAAAAGAAAACCTTCTTCACATTGTTAAAAGTTGATGTTAGAACTAAATGAAATAATATATGTGGATGTGACCAGTACTTATGGTTTAACAAAGGTTGCTTGTTTCTCTCTGAGATTCTCCTAATGGCTTCATATATTTCCCTGCGTAGATTTTTCCTCATGTAAAATTCAAAACTGCTAAGGAAACTGCAAAAACCCAATATCCAGGCTATAGTGAAATGAATTAAAAATAAAAGTGATGAGCTAGTTATAACAAAAATATTGTAAATATATTTGGAATCAGAGAATTTATTAATTAGAGGAGAACTAAAGAACTGTGTGGTTCTTTAGTTCTAAATAGGATCTAAAGAGATGGTCATGGTTTCAAGAGCTTTCAAGGAGTCAAGTTATTGACTCCAAAAGATAGTTGACAGTGAAATAATTTATTCTATAGATGATTTTATTAATCTAACAGGCTCTGTGTTTGGGAATATCATATTTTAGTTATCCAAGTTTAAAAAAAAACAGGTTAAGAAAATATAAAAATAAAAACTGAAAATTAAGGACTGGGCCATAGAGAAATTTGGCAGTGTGTACTCCCTGTGCAGCATTATCCCATAGAAACCTTCCCTTTCCTATCGTGCATGACTAAGGATATTTATGGAAACAATAGGAAATACTACATGCTTGTCATTGTTGCATCTCTTGTTTTTCTCCTGTTCATCTCAAAGATACACAGTCTAGGGCTAAGACACTTGTCTTGTGAATTTGCCAGTGATAAATCATCATGGCTTATTTCATTCTTTCTTTAATTAACTTAGTCAACAAATATTTAATGACTGTTTAGGCTGTGAGGCACAGTAAACAAAAAAAAGCTCAATCTGATTGCTTACCTAATAGTAAAAGGAAACAGATACTAAGACAGCAATCAAGAAAATATTTGATGTATTAGCATGTGATAAGAGTTATAGAGAACCCTGAAAGGGGGGAGGGAGAAATGAGTGGTTACTCTCTTTAGATTGCTGTAGGAGAACTTCTTTGATTAGAAAACATTTGAACAGAGAAGAGGTATCTGTGGAAGAACAGCATGTGCAAATGGCTTGAGGCAAAGGCTTGAGCAGCAAGATGGCCAGTGGAGCTAAACTGAGTATAAGGAAATTGAGACTCGCAAGTAACAGGGTTCACTTAGAGTAGGGCCTTGCAGGCATTGCTGACATCTCTGTCTTTTCCTTGGGTGGGACAGTAAAGCACTTGAGTGTTTGAACAGAGGAGTCACATGATCTGGCTTTGTTTGAAAGATATTTGCTCTACCCTATCTGGTAGTATCCTGCTATCTGTGGGCAAAGTATACCAGCAGAGATCATCAGTGTGTGCCCATTCAGTAGCACTTTCTCATTTCAGGTCACAATAACTCCTTAAATTAGCTGATATTATTGTCAGCAAGAACTGGGACTCAGGGCACGTAAGCAACTGGTCCAAGAGAGTGAAGGAAAACTTAAGTAGAGTCAAGATTCAAGTCCAGACCTGTGAAAGGCCAATTCATTCTTCTCACCTTAGCATAAATAATAATTTTTACATTAGGTGTGTGATGTACACAAGAATCTTTTGTCCTATCTGGGGAAGGTTCTAAAAAGGGAATATGATTTTATTCTCCTCTGCATTTGAGTACTGAGATAGCTCATTTTTCATGCTCTTTGCTACCTGTCTTGATTTCTTTTAGACCTGAGTTTTCATGTTTTGTTTTATTATGAACTACAACTGAATTCTTCTGTATCACATTAATCTGTCACTTTAAGGAGTTTTACAGAGAGCCTTTGACCCATTTAAGGCATTTTTAAATATTTTTTCCCCCTCTAACCTGTCATACAGATTCATAAATGCTGGCAGCAAATGAGGGCCATATATTTGGAGTGTCCTTATGTTCTCTTTTAAGGAACTTGCCATATTAATATCCTCTCAGATTGAGTTCAATCTGTACATGTGTTCATGAACAAAACACTTAAGAATTTCATTATCCCTGCTGACAAAGCAGTAAACAATTCACAACTTAACAGGGAACAGTAATACTCCAGCTGAAAAGCAGTAACAGCTTGTCAAATTTTTTCGCTGAGGCTTTCATTAGCTCAGAATCACAAGGAATGTTTGGTATTATCTTGAGTATTCTCAAATGCTGAGAGCACTAGATGAAAATGCTTTTAGATTGCTATTAAATGATTAGCTCTATTATGTTTCAAGTCACCTTGATAAAATTTCTTATAAAACTGTGAACACAGACCAGCAACCTGTTTGAAAGATGGCATTTGGCGGACCTAGGTCCCCTCAAAATTACTGGGAACCCTGTTGGCCTTCAAAGAGGCATGGAAGCATTAGGGGCTTCAAGGTTCAGCTTAAGTCTCCCCATTAGTGTAGTGCAGGAGTAAGGTCTGAGGTGAGATAGGATGAGAACCATTATATTAAATAAGAAAAAAGAGTACTTCTTCTTACTTTTGTTACAATTTTGTTCTTTTTTTTTTTAACTGGAGGAAAGATTGGGAAGTATAAAGAGGAAAAAAAAACAATACCTACACCTGCAACATCAGCAGAATCAGTACCTGACTGAATTCAGAATATTTATGGACTTGAGTCTAGAAGAGCATAAAGATACTACCTGTGCCATACTCAAAGTAAAACTGGAGAAATTAGTTTTTATTTTTTGTTAAAAAAAAACACATTGTATGAAATGAAATTATACTATGAGAATCAAGTATTTTTTCCTTCTTGTAATCACAGTGGATAAAAAATGAATTAGGAACCCAGTTGGAATTGATATGATCCATTGGAATTGATATGATCCAGTGGAATTTCATATTCCAGTGGAGTAGTTGTAAGCCCAGCCCCAACAAATTTTAAACCCAACATGGATTCACTGTGTACCTGGGGTGATGGTTGGGTTATTATTTAAGTGCTACATGTACTTGGTAACTTGGAAATAAGAATTCACTATTCTGTATCACACTAATCTGTCACTTTAAGGAGTTTTACAGAGAGCCTTTGGCCATTTAAGGCATTTTTAAATTTTTTTTTTTCCCTCACCTGTCATACAGATTCATAAATGCTGGCAACATTACAGTAACTTTCCTTACAGTAACTCTAAGGTTTTATTCTTACTTCTTCCTTCTGCCTCTCTATAAGGTCCAGTTGAAAAGTGAAGAATCTAAAACATTTGCAATGAAGATTCTCAAGAAACGCCACATTGTGGATACAAGACAACAGGAGCACATCCGCTCAGAGAAGCAGATCATGCAAGGGGCTCACTCCGACTTCATTGTGAGGTAAAGGTGCTGTATTACCCCAGGGGCTGAAGTCCCCTGCTCCAAGAGGCAAATCAACCACTAAACCCTCTGCTACTGGCACTCATCGATACATATGTCACACAAATTTATTTTTTGAAAAGAATTTATTTTAAGAAAGTATTATTTGTTGTTTTTTTTTTAAGTGAATCATAATTTCTTGGAAAATAATTTTTTTTTCCAGAGGAAGTATCAAAGTTCCTAATAATTTTAAGATTTAAAAAGTAAAATAAATGACTAGTCCAATTTAGCATCATGAGAGCACTAATAAGAAGATAACAGAAAGTTTTTTTTACATGCAAGAGCATCTATAGTTAATTTGCCAGTGGCACATGCTAAAAACAGTACATAACAAGAACTTTTGTGAACAGCATGTAAGTGTGATACATGTCTGTCTGTAAAGCATAATCTACTTTATGTGCATACACTGCACATTTAAGACAATAGTGTTTGAGAGTCCATGCTTGAAACACCAACCAAATTAAAATAGGAGAAATTTCAAGCAGTCCTTTTGATATATAAATATTTGGATTAATCCATTTCAAAGAAAAAACTAGCCCCCTGTGGCATGCAAGTCTTAGTCATGAGACATTGCCTCCTTTTCTGTATTTGTAAATTTAGACTTCTCATTCTTTTAATGAAATGTCCAGTTTGGCAAATCAAGAGTAACACTGCAGTCAGTGACAATTAAAATATGTGTGTTTTTCAAAGACAATAATGTTTATAACCCTTTTTTTCTTATTTGCAATTCACAGACTATACAGAACATTTAAAGACAGCAAATACTTGTATATGTTGATGGAAGCTTGTCTAGGTGGAGAGCTCTGGACCATTCTCAGGGATAGGTAGGATTTCTATCATATCTCTACAATCATAACTGACTATGATAGTCTTTACAAAGAATTAGTATAAGGTATAAAAATTATTTATATTTTACATGTGCTTATATTTCTTTTTTTTAGTTTTGCATAGAAGGACTGGGGTGTAGGCCAGAGGTATGGGGGTTTGAGAGGATTCACCAGAGACAGAGTGGGGAGCAGAAAAGGCAGACTGACTGAAATACACTGCTGAGAGGAGCAGCGGGCAAGACAGGAGAGGTCTGCTGTGCCCTATGGTTTAGCTCCCTGGCAGGGGATCAAACTCAGATCATTGCGGTGATCGTGCTGAGACTTATAATCTCTAGGCCACCAGGAAGGTCCCTATGCTTTTATTTCTAATGTAAAGAAAATATAGGACAGAATCTACTATATACATAGGATTTACTATAAACATAATACTCTATAACTAATGTAAAGTGTTAGTCTCATAATTTAACTTGAAAATCAGAATCAGACAACTATATACCTAGAGTTCAGTTCATTGATTTAACTTGAAGTGAATTATTTGATGGTTATAAGCTACATTAACTTTAAGTGTAATTGCGCCACTCAGTCTGCAATTGGGCAGCCTGCCTTTCCTCCTGACACTGATCTTTTTTTTTTTTCTGACACTGATCATTTTTTCCAAAGTAACATTTTCCTCTACCTTTACATTGATTTTGGTTTCAAAATTAACAGAAGTTTCCAGTCATTTCTTTTGGACAATAGCTGGTTTTAGCAAAAATTATCCATTTATAAACAGTATTTCATGCAACCAATCTAATTTAGGTTTACTTCATTTTGCCTTTTCAGGGCAAGTAAAATTGCTGTTGTTAGTGTTTATTTGCTTCTTTTAATTATGCAAAAACAAGTCTCTATCTCCTACTTATGTAGCTAGCAAATTACCATTTTATAAAATGGGTTCTATATCATGCCCCAAGAAAACATTATCAACCATAAATGTTAACTTTAAACCAAAAAGTTCCATAAATTTCTTCTCCTGTGAATGATCTAATGACATTACAGCATCTTTGTTCCTTTGAGCATCCACCCTTGGACATGTCTTTTTTCATGTTTGTTCCAATCCTGTCCTTCTGACTCTCCCTCACTGGTTAAGGTCCTTCTCAAAATCAGCTACAGATACCCTTGTTGTTCCCAGAGAACCATGTAATTTTTTTTTTTTTTTTTTTGCCAATGTGTTACTTTGTAGATATCCCAGAATAGAACAGTGTTTCTTTATAAACTATTGATTTAAATTCTCCCTATTCCTAGTGGTGTTCTTATGGTATCTTCATATCTTTGTACAACATGCCTTTTTAGATCTTTCATTCCCATTGCCTTACTTGTATGTATTATCAAGTGGGTTTCTTTGTATCATATTGTGTTCTATTACATTAACCTTTTTAGTTTCATTTATTAAATTTGAGGTAAATCAGCATATAAGGGGATGTATCATGTTGGCATTAAGGGTCAAGGTTAATATCTGCATTAAACTATTAAATCATAGCATAATATTATTTAATATTGGGTATAGATTATATCCCAGGTATTGTGATAGGGGCAGGGGTAAGTGAGAAAGGGATATGGTCCCAACTCTTAGTAACTTAGAGGTTATTACACAAATTAATATTTTCATTTGAGTTAGTATTTGTTATCCTAATGTACTTCTACTATGTTATTTTTGATCCACCCGTTCAGTTCACTGACCTGAAATCTCTTCCTACTTTGATCTAACTAGAGCAGGGAAAGATTTACGACGTAATAACAACAATAATGATGTTAAAAGCCAACCTAAATTCTATTGAGGCATCAAGCATGCAACAACATTACTTTCAACATTTTGAAATATTAAATTATGAAAATATGATTTCAAATTTCTCCCTATTTACTTGATTCTGCATTTTTGGTTCATAGTGCCATTCAAGTCTCTGAGATGTCTCTTGATTTGCCAGGGCAGCTGAGGGTTGATGTAAAGAAACAGCTTACATTGAGAGGAATGGATATTCCTTCTCTAAAACTACTAAGCTGCTTTCAGATCCTTTCCTTTTTTTCTCCCTTTTATCATCCTTGGGTTTGGTGTACATAGTTGTTGCGTCCCCCACAATGCACTTAATATTCCACAAAGAGACCTGATTTGTAGAAATAGCAGGTACCTATTCTGCCCAAGATTTAATGGTGCTGAAGCCTCAACTTTAAAAACAATGGCATTATCGTACATAAAAGCACATTAGAATCATCATCCTTTGGCAAGTTTCTTGTATATGTACATAGCATTATTGCCATTGTTTTAAGAGATTATTTTTCCTAATCAAGAAATTGCTGAGGGAAAAGCAAAGTTTTGGATATCTAAACTATTGTTGACATTGACACTTGCTGTTTGTTTAAACTGGAGCTGAAAATCCTAAAAATTATTAGAAAGACACAAAAGATGTCAAGAGAAAAAAGTAATTATGCTATTAGTCATTTTATACAGTTAAAACCAACCATATTCTTCAATTCATTCAAATTTCCTCCTATGTCGCAGTAAGGGAGAGGCTATTCTGAAAGCAAAAAGGAAATTTGGGTTGATGTGAAGAAAGGATGTGTGACTTTTTTTCTTGACTGACATGGTAATGCCTCTGAGCCCCAGGAATTTAGTGCAGGAAGCCTCTCACACCAGTAGACATCTGCATCTCACCCCTAGTTGAGATGACCATTTCCTGCCTCTCATCTCTTCCTTCTCTTCAGCATAGAAAGGGAATGGAAAACAGTTTTTATTTCCAGCCAGGAAGAATTAAAATGGGGCCATATATAAAAACAGGACTATTAAATGCTTTCTTCTCTTTGAAATATAAATTATAGCTTTGAAATGTTCATAATTACAGTTTTTTCCCTGGTGTAGTCTATATTAGCTATTATGTTTTTTTCTTCTAGTTTGTGACATTTTGTTTCCCACAAATTCTGTACCATTATGTGGAATATGTTGGTACAAATATTACCATTTACATTTCTTCCACTTTGCAACTATCTTGGAAATGTAAGTGGTTAGTATGTATTACAATATAAATTAGCATTTTATATCTTACATGTTATCAGTATTTTATATATATTCAACTATGAAATTTAACATTTCAACTACTTGATTTGAATTTTAATGTATAGGTTAATTTTCCCTAGAGAATATTTAAATGATTACTTCAGAAACCATACTTTTCAAATCACATATACTTATTTCATCATGTGTCTTTCTAGATGTGTTTTATAAACCATCAAATGGCTTTCTCCTTGGTCCCAGTTATTTTGTGCAGTGTGATTAAGTTTCATCTTAGATAACTGAATAAATGGAGGACGTGGCAAGTATTTCAGAGTAGATGAATCTGTTTTCATAACTTAGCCATCCTTATTTTACAGTTGGCAGTAATCCTGCGCAAATTTTAACATACCTTCAAGATTTTACAGTCACTAATGATTGTTGTTACTGCAACAAAAAGAGGGAACTTATTGACATTTCATAATTTCAGGACTAAGTTTATAAGAAATTGATTAAACATTGTGATTAACTTTCAATCCAAGTGTACTGTAAAAAATATTTTAAAAAAATTATAACATTGTCATTTTCTCAAATTGTTGCTATCTGCTGCCATCTAGCTAAAATAAAACTACCCATTCCCAAAGGCATAAGTTATTATTTCAAAGAGCTATATAGGACAGCAATTTATTTCTTTAAGCAACTTTATAACTGTTGGTAAAACAAGCTTTCATTTTGGTATTGTATCTAATATTCACTGTCATTTCCAATTCTAATAGTAATTTTTCATTTTAACTCATGTTAATGCTCTGCTTTATGATTGATTTAAAAGTGGATTTTAAAATCCACAAATTATTGCTAGTTAACATAGGGTCCACCTATTTTGTGTTGATTTGTCACATAACATGGAAAAAGACTTGGAACAAAGTTTTCATTTAATTTTTAAAATCAGTGTGTGTGTATATATATATATAATAAAAGAGAGAGAGAGAGAGAGAGAGAGAGAGAGAGAGAGAGAGAGAGAGAGAGAGAGAAAGAAAGAAGATACTCAAGCTAGATTTGTTGATGGAATGGAAACCTGCCTTCTAGAACCTTCCAAATTCCACAATGGCTTAGGGCCAGAGGAACCTTGAAATAAACAGAGCTATCAAGACTGAAAAATGTATGATTTATGTTCAGTTCACTTTCATGAGTGAAAAAAGGCAATAAAAGGGTAATTTTTGCTCAAACATTTGTGAGAAGCTTGGGGAAAGTGAAAAGTACAGAGAATAGGACAATACTCCTCAGAAGGAACTGAAGACAGGATTGACAGTGAGAGGTGGTGGATATTTCATTATCAGTAATAACAGTGTTGCAAATTCCCTACTCCCATTCCCAAGAGACTTTGGACCATGCTATATCAGTCAGTTTTCCCAGGAATAAGCCACAGGGGCAAAAATGGAGTGATTTAGTGCTCAGACAGAATGGCTATTTATTGAGTAGCAGTGTGCAGTCACTTATTCTAAATACATGAATCAATTTTTGAATCCTCAAAGCCATGCAATAGTTTCTGCTATAAGAAACTTTTTGCACTTGAGAGTACTGAGAGTACTTAGTTCCTCAAGATTAAAGGGTAAACGGAACCCAGATTTGAGCACAGGAGTCTTGCTTCCATTGTCCATAGTTCTAATCTCTAACTTCCTTGGGTGAATTTTGAATTTGTATTAGGAACTTTTTCATCTTCCTGCTAATGACTAGCTTATTGAGAATATATGAAACTGATCTCTCACATCAGTGTTTACTCTCCAGACAACATTAGCAATGCATGTGCCTATTTAATTCTATTAACAACTGAATATTCAGGACACAGATATGTTGCCCAGAAGCACAACTATGGGAAAAAACAACTTTTCCAATAGTGATAAATATTTTGTAGCCTTCACAAAGGTTCACTCAAATCACAGTTAGACAATCCTGATACAATGGAAGTTTTTGTATTAAAGCAAAGCATGTAATGTGAAATAAGACTATTCCATGTGTTTGTTTTGGTTTGGCTTTGCATTGTTTGTTTTGTAATGTTCTCCTTTGAGGAGGGATTGACATCATACACAACCCTAAATGTACTTAAAGTTATGCATTAATTATTTAAACATGGATGAGTACTATTTAAGGAAAGTAATTTCTTCAGTTGAAAGAAATATGCTGCTCTTGATAGACATACTTAAGAGCAAAGAAGAAATTATCTTCAAGCACTATTTTAATCTCTTTCCCAACATACAATATTATATGTTAGCTCTGAAAAGGTAACTCCAAGAAAGACCACAGTTGCCACGTAAGGCATAAATTTATTTCCTAATATAGACTCAATTCTTAAAGCTACTTTTTCTTATCCTTATAAATGTGCAATTGTTTCATTAAGATATTATTGAAGAGTTAATAGAATCTTGGTTATTATAGTTGAATTCTAAGCTCTGGAATAGCAGATATCATTGTGCCTGAATTGTATTTCAAAAAAAGAAATTTCTTTGGGAAGAGCTAATTATTTCAGTAACACAGATAACACATTAGTAATCCTGAAATGTAGTGGTACAGTCTTGAAACGAAGGCTATAACTTTCTGGAAGACACAATATATATCTATTGTGACCTGAAGTAACTAAAATGTGACCTGAATCCAAGTGACCTTGGATTCATTAATTTTGTAAAGTCACAGTCATGTTCCACTTTCCAGTTTGTTAGACTTTATTTCTTAATCATCAAAAAAGTAAATGTCACCAAAACTGGCATCAGGAGCTCTCAGGAAAGTGGTATCTGGGGCTACCCTTTGCTGCAGGTTACCCAAAACCACCTTTGTGCTTCTCTTTGGTGTTGCATCTAAGCCACCTCAAAAGTAATTTTTCACACTAATGTTCTTGAATTATCATGAAATGTTTAAATTGTGTGTTTAAAAGAATGCATTTTATCTTTTAAGAAGTTCTGTAAAAGTAGTTAAAAGGTCTATCCTAGAACCAAGGAGTTAACCTTCGATGCCCAGATGTCTTCATTATTGTTATTTCATTAAATAAAAAAACACAGGCCTCCCCGGTGGCGCAGCGGTTGAGCGCTGGGTTGCGAAGCCGCCTGCAGCCTCTGCAGCCGGTTCGATCCCCGGCTGCTCCCCGGCCACCAGAGGAGGGTCCCACATGGCGCGCAGACCTCTCCTGCCGCCCGCTGCCCCCCTCAGCAGTGTACTTCGGTCCTTCTGCCTGCTCTGCTCCCCGCTCTGGCTCTGGTGAATTCTCTCACCCTCCCACGCTTCTGACTGTACCCAGTGCATGTATCAAACAAACAAACAATAAATAAATAAATAAATAAGACATGCCTCTAGAAAATTAAAAAAAAAAAAAAATAAATAAATAAATAAAAAAACACAGAGGAAGTACTTTCTTGATAAAAATCATAAAGTTTGCTAATTACTATTCCCTTCCAGTTACCTTTTTCAATCTAATTATCTTTTAGCTCCATCTTTTCTAATAGAAGGCAGTAGTGCTATCAGAAGTTTCAAAAATTACTTTGCCTCATTAGCATTGCAAATCCTTTCCAAAGTGGATCTTTGAAAGTATTAACTTTTATTAATACTTTTGCTTTATTTTTTAAAGCAAACCCTTAGTAGACCAGCTCTAACGCAGGGTTTGTCTCTCTCTTGCCGACTGCTATAACCATGCCTTTTTTAGACTTCAGTGGGTGTTGGGAGGAAGTCAATGCACACAAAGTGGGGTGTAGCTGGACTTTTTATCACTTTCAAGAAGTTAAATTTAACTCATTCATTAGAGCAAAGAATCCAGTAGCAATCCGGTAACATTTGGCCAGTCGAATTTTGAATTTTGATCTCTGGGGCTAAATTTTGGTACAGGAATTAAAAAAAAAAAAAAAAAACCTTAGTAGAGGAATTAATTTCTTTTATATGTTTCATTCCATTTTCTGTATCTCAGAGGTTCATTTGAAGATTCTACAACCAGATTTTATACAGCATGTGTGGTAGAAGCTTTTGCTTATCTGCATTCCAAAGGAATCATTTACAGGGACCTCAAACCAGAAAATCTCATCTTAGATCACCGAGGTTACGCCAAACTGGTCAGTGCCTTTCACACATGGTTTCTGCCTTGTGGTTTTAAAATACTGGTTTATAAGACTGTCTATTTGCTAACATGAAAATCTCAGATTTCCTTTCTAAATGTTATAAATGTTCTTGAAAGCAGGTTTGGGGTTACTCTTTTCAACTAACCTTTCAAATTATGCAAATATTAAGAGAAATTAAATTGGCTAAGTTTTAATAGATAATATCCTGGCAAAACATGCTTAAGTATGTTCATGCTTTCTGGCATGTGTTGAGACCTAGAAGAGCTCCACAGAAGTTCTTTTTTAAAATCAGCTTTCTGTCATGCTAACGGATTGGGTATTTATTTATGGAAAATCATGACTATTTTTAATATTTTAGATTTGATAAAATGCTAATGGGAAAAAATTCTTTTTGCAGACAATGTTATCCAGGCTATGTTAAGAATAATAATAGTGAAAATAATAATAAAAACTGGTCATTTTGTACTTGGGATTCAGTTTTTCCCATTGAATTGGAATTTGATCAGGGAGGCTTTATTTGCAAGATAGATGACTTTTTTTTTAAAGATAGGACTATAATAACTTGCATCTGTTTTTATTTTACTATTATTGTCATCAGTGTACTTCAGTGAAGTAACTTACCACTTTCAAAGTTAATAGTAAATGCCTTGAAATTCATTTTTCTCTTTGTAAGGTTGATTTTGGCTTTGCAAAGAAAATAGGATTTGGAAAGAAAACATGGACTTTCTGTGGAACTCCAGAGTATGTCGCTCCAGAGATCATCTTGAACAAAGGGCATGACATTTCAGCAGACTATTGGTCACTGGGAATTCTAATGTATGAACTTCTGACTGGCAGGTATGGACATTGATAGACAACTGCTGACAAAAATAGACCAGCCACCAGCTACACCCTTCTCCTGCCTTTGTCACTCTGATTAAAGTACATTTCACCATCTTTTGTCACCATGCTTTGATTAGTTATGCAAAGGACCAGCAGTTCACAAAGCATAGTCTAAAATGGATCAGGTGAGGGCAAACACTCAGCATCAGTGTTTGGTCTCATATTTGCTAATTCTTTAATCATAGGTGAATGTGGAATGACATAGTATCTTCCTGTGATGACTGAGCCTAGTCATTTATCCAGTAATAAAACCAAAGAGATAGAAGTCAAAGTAAAGAAAGTCCATGTTAGCTATTTACTAAAGAATTAAAATATTAAGCTTCATGAAAAACTAAAACATTGACAGTATTAATTCTTCTACATTAATTTTCTCTACAACCATTATTTAATTCCTGGAGTAAAAAGCATAATACATTAATATCTTGTTCTTAAAAATCAGCACATACTAAACTGTAAATTATTTCTAGAAATGGAAATGTTAGCAATTGTTATATCTAAATGAAATGTGAATGTTTTGCAGGTTTTTTATATAACAATATTATAGTCATCAACAACTGAAAATAAGATTACAAAATCCTCAAGGAAAAGCAAAACAAATGTACTAATGGCTATACACTAAGGACAATGAATAATAGGGTCATTATGACCTGTCAGTTCAAAAGAAGGCTGGGTTTGTGCAGAGAGGCTTTTGAAGAAGATTAAGACTGCAGCTTATCTTCTTAAAAGAATCAGACTTGGATGTAGAGAGCAAGGGACAGGGCAATGTAGGCAGAGAGATACAGTTTTATAGGGACAGTAAAAGGCAAGACATGGAGAAGATTTATATACAGATTAATGGGGAAGCAATGAGAGTCATCTTTTAAGGATCATAATTGCTGCATTTGAGTGTCTGAACTTCATCCAGAGACGAATCATTGAGTATTATCTGACAAAAGAGTGACATGTGTTCTGGTGTAAAATAAAACAAAAAAGCAAACAAATAAACAAACAAGCAGACACTAATGGGTAGAGGAAATTGGGAGAGTGATCAGACTAGTCTAAGATCGTCATTCCAATAATTCAGATCTAGATAACTAAGAGCCATGCATAGGATAGCGGTGAGGAGGAGGAAGGTAAGGTAGGCTATGAAACAATTCCCTCGGAGAAATTAATGAAGACTCAGAGAAATAGATGAAGACTTGGGCTTTTAGCTTCACAGTGAATATATGAAGCACTGAGAGGAGTATCTAGCACTTTGGAAGCATTCTATGAATGCTAACTACTCCTACTACTGCCACTGCCAGAAATAGTTCTGCTTTAGTTTTAATTTTATTTGTGGACATTTCACATCTTTAGTCTTGAAATGTCTATGCTAACTTGGAATAAATTATTTGTAACCTAATGGAATTTTGTTCAATATTCCTTTTCTACATGGAGGTAAATGATTCCAAATGTATAACCACTTAGGTAAACATGTAAGAATGTAAAACATTTGGGCACTAGAAAATTTTAAGTATAATATGTATGCATATCTGTATACATGAGTGAATAAATAGGTAGGTAGATGGCCTTTTCAATATTAGAATTGCCATAAAAACCAACTATATAAGGAAGAAAGCTCAATGTTAGCTATTTACTAAAGAGTTAAAATATTAACCTTCATAGCAAAACTAAAACATTGACAATATTAAATTCTTCTGCATTATTTTTTTCTACAAACCATTATTTACTCCTGGAGTAAATAGCATAATACATTAATACCTTGTTCTTAAAAATTGGCACACATTAAACTGTAAAGTTCTTAATATAAAAAGAAGACTACTACTTTAAAACAGGAAATTTCACAGGCCACAACCTGACTACGATGTCATACAATTGGAAGTTAATGCACAAGGTATTTTTTTTACAAGAAAAAGTTTATACGGGCCTCCCTGGTGGCGCAGCGGTTGAGCACTGGGTTGAAAGCTGCCCGCAGCGTCTGCAGCGCTGGTTCGATCCCCGGCTGCTCCCCGGCCACCGGAGGAGGGTCCCGCATGGCGTGCAGACCTCTCCTGCCGCCCGCTGCTCCCCTCAGCAGTGTACTTCGGTCCTTCTGCCTGCTCTGCTCCCCGCTCTGGCTCTGGTGAATTCTCTCACCCTCCCGCGCTTCTGACTGTACCCAGTGCTTGTATAAATAAATAAATAAATCTTTAAAAAAAAAAAAGAAAAAGTTTATACACTTGAAAATTAAAAAAAAAATCCTAAGTAAACACAAGTTAGATTAATAGAACAATAATAAGAATAAAGCACTATAAACCACAATTTATATATAGTGGTCAAAACTGAACTTATTACCCATTTCAAGAAATGAAAGGAGAGCAGGACTCCTTTCCAATAAACATCTTTACTTTCTTTACCTCCCTCTACCCGATGGGAAGGAGTGTGGAAAGGTAAAATAAAGCATATAATCTTTGCTTAGAATGAAAGTTTCACCAACCACGCATGCCAAACACTGAAGTGTGACATGTAACTAGAAATAATACTAGTAAGCCTACTAATACTACAGCTTAAATGTCACATTTAATGACCTTCAACTGAAATAAAATGTGGAGAAATGGTTGGATCTTAGAAAAGCAAAAAATGTTCACATAGACACCTACTTAAGTAGCAGAGAATGAAAGAGGAACTGAAATGGGCCTCGTTCAGATAGAACAGTTCTGCTTCTTAAGGCCCATAATGTTGGCCAGCAAAGTAATAAAACAAAAAAAGGGAGAGTTGCAACAACAGAAAAATGATTGGGTTTGTGGTAGGGCTTTGACATGAGCCTCTAGGATCTCCAGAATGCCAAAAATTGAGGGCACATGAAATAAATTACCTCGTGAGAGATTTTATAAGGTAACAAATCCTCGTGAAGCCTGCTGTTTCTCCAGTTTCCTTCCATCCAGTCTTCTTTATACTTCACAGTAGCTAGCCCCACTCAAGGATAAAGTAATAATCAGAAAGGGCTCAATGGGACCCATTCTCTAACCTTCTCACAACCTCAGCCCCTTCTACACACACCAGCTCCTTTCTTTCTTCAAGGATTCATGGGTCCCCACCTTATTCCTGAAAATACTAATTTATCTCAAGTTTCAGGTTTAGAGTCAGTCTATTCCAGTTTCAGGGCAACATAAACTGGCCCAAGCAGACTTGAAGAAAAAGGTTTAATATACATTAGTGAAGAATCCTCAGTGCCTATAATACACATTCAAAATAATTACTGAGTGTATATAAATAAGGGCCTTTTTCTGCTGGTAGTCATCTTTACAACTATGAGGGGAAATGACTTTAGCATGAAACCAACATAGCATGGCAAAACAAATATCTGGAAAGTACCATTACTCCTTCGAGGTCTAAGTTTTACCACCTCTAGACTGCCAATAATGTCCTTATTGTTGTCATCAATTTGAGTTATTTTATGTTAATTTCAGCTGAAAATGCATAATAGAAGGTAACTAAAAAGCACACAAGGAAAATTAATCAAAGAAACATAGGAAAAGTTCAGACATACTGTTATCTATACTTTTTTAAAGCTATGGAAAGCGTGATCACTTCATACACCAGAACTAAAGACACTGTTAAAAGAAATAAAGACACAGAGAAGTGGAAATATATCCCATGATCAGGGACGGAAAAGTAAACATTGTGAAGATGATCATATTACCAAAAGCAATCTACAATTTCAACAAATACCTATCAAAATCCAAATGATATTTTTCAAAGAAATAGAACAAAGAATTCTAAAATTTTGTGGAACCACAAAATGACCTGAATGACCAAAGAAAATTGGAAGAGAAAAAAAATTAAGGTTTTGTACACTCTGACTTCAATTATATGACAGAATAATTGTCCCAATACCATACTGTTATGAGTACTAAGAAAGAAATACATCAATGGAATAGACAATCTATGTAGGCCCACATATAGATGGACAATTAATCTATGACAAAGGAGCAGTGACCATAGATTTGAGATAGGAAAGACTCTTCAACAAATGGTGTTTAGAAAGTTGGAAAGTCACATGCAAAAAACAAGAAAAAGAAATGATCCTTACTTTATGCCATGCACAAAAATTTACAATGGATGAAAGACTTGGATGTAAGACCTGAAACCACGTAATACATAGAAAATATAGGTGATACAATTCTAAACACCAATTTCAGAGATGTATTTAGAGACACAACTCTAGTGGCAAGGGAAAGAAAAACAAAAATAAACAAATGGACCACAGCCAAATAAAAAGGGTTTGCAGAGTGAAACAAACCACTACAAAGACAAAAAGGCAGCCTAAAAGTCTGGGTGAAGATATTTGCATAACACATGTCCAATAAGGTGTTATTTGAAAAGAAAAATAAGAAGAGCTCCTATAATTCAACAATAACTGGGCAAACCAATCAAAAATGGACCAAAAAAAAACTAAATAGAACTCCTCAAAGACATACTGATGGTCCACAAACACATGAAAAAATGCTCAACATGACTTACAAGGGAAATGCAAATCAAAACTATATTGAGCTAGCCTCACACTTGTAAGAATATATATTAAAAACAACAGTTGGCAAGACTGTAGAGAAAAAAAACTCATTTCACTGTTGGTGAGAATGTAAATTGGTGCAGCCTTTATGGAAAATGGTATGGAGACTCCTTAAAAAGCTAAAAATGAAAATACCATATGATCTAGCAATACCACTTCTAGGTATTTATCCAAAGAATATGAAGACACCAATACAAAAATATTTATGCATCCTTGTGTTCATAGCAGCATTATTCACAATAGCAGTGACATGGATTCAACCTAAATGTCCATCAACAGGCAACTCATGTGAAGAAAATGTGATAAATATACTCAATGGGATACTACTCAGCCATTTAAAAAGATGAAATAGTGCCCTTTGAGACACTGTGGATAGATCTAACTGAATAACTTAGTGAATGACAACTTTGTCTCATTATGGAAT